GTCGATTATAAAATCTGCTCCAAAGTTCTTTCTCTTCGCCTTTCTAAAGTTCTAGAATTTATCGTTGATCCTGATCAAACCTGTTCCGTGCTCGGACTTAAATTACATCGAATTTACACATCCTAAGAGATGTGTTACATTACATCGACCGCACTAATGAGACCGGTATTATGATTAGCCTTGACCAAGAGAAAGCCTTCGATCGTGTCAATCGCACCTTCTTGTTAAATCTATTGTCTCGTTTCGGTTTTGGTCCATCCTTTTGTTTTTGGATCAATACCTTATACAATGGCGCTAATATGCGCATTATTGTGAATGAATGGTTGTCGGACACAATACCTTTATCCCGCGGGGTGAGACAGGGAGATTCCCTGTCTCCCTTGTTGTACATTCTTTGTGTTGAAACTCTTGCGTGTAAAATCCGAAATAATCCAGATATCGAAGGCTTTCTCCTTCCGGGCGCACGAGGTTTATGTTATAAAGTTGGTGTTTATGCTGACGATACAACCTGTATTGTTAAGTCCTATCGTTCTCTTCAGGTTTTGTTTAACATGATTAACGTGTATGAGGGTGGATCTGGAGCTCGTCTCAATATTGCAAAAACTGAGGCCATGTGGCTGGGAGCATGGCGTTCACGCGGCGACGAGCCGCTTGGCCTCAAGTGGGTAACAAAAATGAAAATTCTAGACGTTGTTTTTGGCCTCGATACCGATGCCGATAATTGGCGACCGAAACTCGAGAAATTAGAGAAACATCTTAATCTCTGGAAATCTCGTTCCCTCTCCCTTATCGGTAAATCACTGATAATCAATGTGTTGGGAATTAGCAAACTCCCAAGGGGGATCGTCTGGATCCGAGGAACTGGCGCCCCATCACCTTGCTAAATGTGGACTATAAAATCGCCTCTCGCGTCATAGCAGGCCGCCTCTTAAAGGTTATTCACCTCGTGGTCAGTAGCGATCAAACATGTGGGGTTCCGGGTAGGTTTATCGGTGAGAACGTGTCTTTTCTGCGCGACGTAGTCCACTACGCTTCCGACCATTGAATCTCTCGATCACCTCTTTTATTACTGTCCGTTAGCACAGAGTGTTCTGTCGTGGTTGCAATCGTTGTTGTTCAGTTTCTCCTTCATGTGTCCGGCTCTCTTGGTGCGTCACGTTCGTTTCAGCTTTAGTTCGGACGAACTGTGCATCACCCCTCGCGTCTTTGTCTACCTTCTGAACCTGTGTAAATTCTACATCTGGCAGTCCCGAAACGACTTCCGTTTTCGTAATATTCCCCCAGGCGCTGTGGACGTCATCGCCAAAGTGAAGGCTCGCCTGAAGTGTCACCTTCGGATTTTCTTCAAGCGTTTCCAATCTTCCCGTCGTCGCCATTACTTTGACCGTCAGTGGGGCGCCCGTGGTGTCGTCGCTTCCATAAGTGGCAATACTTTGTCGATTGTTCTCTAGCTTGTTTTTTGCCTGCTCCTTGCTTTGTTTTGTTTTTTGTTCGCGTGCCACCCCTTGGCTGGCTAGGGGTTTTTATTATTGTTTTGTTTTTTGTTTTGCGTGCCACCCCTTGGCTGGCTAGGGGCTATGATTATTCTTTCATTTTTTGTTTGCGTACCGCCCCTTGGCTGGTTAGGGGATATTATTATTGTTTTCATTATCGGTATCGAGCGTGTGCGTTTTTCCGTTTGGTGTGGGTGTGTTTAATGTTTTACGAGGTGGGGTTCGATTCCCCAACGAAGTTGGTTTCTGGTGACCCTCTTGTTTATTGGTGAACCCAACCTTAAGGCCTTGCACTCCCCGCCTTGGGTTGGATTAGACGGTTAGTTCGGCAGGCATTGCACCGCCCTCACGGGAGCCTGGCCGTTCGCCTTAAGCATAAAAAAACTTGCCTGACGCGGGTTTTGGCCTGCGTCTTAGTATGTGCTCCGATTTTGCGGGTTCGGCTTGTGGAGGTGGATCTACTTATTGGAGGGGTGGCTTCGCTCTTGTGGCTTTCCTTTTTGTGGGCCGGAAATTGTAAGTATTGTCGTGTATTTTACGCTGAGTGAGTACCTGCCGGGAAGGAAAACTCAGTGTGTTTTTGTGTTCGTCCTTTTCGCGGGTTTTTCGCCCTTTTGGGTGTGGCCCTCGTTTGGGTTTTTTCTTTTTCTCTTGGCATCATGGCCTCGGCAATGAGTCGGACCATTGATGTCAGGTGCCATTTACTCTCGTCGGGCCTGAAAGGCTGGGATGTTGTGAAGTGGTTAGTTGAGTTTTTCAGAAGGGAGGGTTTCGCGGTTGTCTCCGCCCAACCTTTCCCGTCTAAGATGATTAGGGTTACCTTTGGAAAGGATAGCGTAAGGGCTAAGGCTGTTTTTGAGGGGCTGGGTGTGATTACTCTAGATGGGGTGGAGTGTGAGGTTGTGTGCCCCCCACCCCCTCTCCCCAGCGGGTGGATGTCCTGATTAGCTGGTTTCCATTTGAGAGGCCTGAAGCGGAGATTTCTAACGTTCTGATGAGATACGGTGATGTGAAGCCCGGCCACTATCAGAAGTGGCCTGATTTGGAAGGCGTTTATACCGGCACTCGGATAATTCCAATGGTTGTTAGTAAAGATATTCCGAGGTTTTTG